CGTACGTTGTCTTAGGTGGACTAGCTTCAGATGAAATGCTACGCTTTCCGAAAGATATCTACTTAAATTCTCTTAGTGTAGAATATAAAATCACTAATTGATTTTTCTAGCAACCTCCCCACCATAAACTGCCGGCAATCACCGATGATATTATAAACATTAATGTTATTTCGGCCGACCTACAGAAACCTCGTCTCACAGAAAAAAAACTGTCTCCAGTTCGCTTACAAATACCATGTATAGCACTTGTGTATATAAAATGCACATTTTTTTTACACACACTATATATATATATATATATATATATATATATATATATATATATATATATATATATAAGTATGTGTCATCTCGACGAAACATTTTCCAATGAAACCTATGCAGAGCTGCTTCGAATAAAGAAAAATGCTTTAAATTATATTATGAATTTTCCGTTTATGTCAGTCGTTATAGGTCTGTCGCTCTAGCTGGCGGCGTTTTCTCCAAAGACATTATATTCCGTATCGTGCTTTCGTAAAAGTGACTCCACTTACGATGACTTACCCAAATAGCACGCTAGTATTTGGCCCAGCGGCCAAGCCCACCATAACAGGTTCAGGAAGATGTTCGTGTCCCTTAGCTTTTTCACCCGGTACAGCCATCTGCCAGCCGACAATAATTTGTCAAATTAATTTTACTTGACCCATTAGCTCGTTTATTAGTTTCATAATTCTTTTCTCATGCCCTATCCGCTCCAACGATGTCAGCTGATGTCACTTGAACACTGAACTGCGTTAACAGCAGCAAACCATGTTTGGCCTTCGGGCCGAATTAGCAGTGGCCTTTTTTCAGAGGAGTCCCGTTTTTCCACTACGCTGTGTTTCTTCCTTACGTCGGTTTGTTGTACGTGGAAGGAGCAAAATTTTAGCTGAACGCTACTTATATGAAAAAGACAGACACAACAGGACCATAAGTAGTATAGGGGACAACTGCAATTGTCATGCTGACCTCTTCCGATAAAACTTCGCTCTCTAGGAGAACGAGAGCCGAACGCCAAATCCGTTGCTAGGGGCTGCCGCCGCGATTAATACAAAAATAGAAAAAATAGTTTCGCGTGCGCGTAATCCAATAAAAGCGTGCCGTTCATTAAGGACCTAAGCTTAGCCCTTTTCAAAACCTAAAAATAGAAATACTTTTCGTTGCGTCTGTCTTCTGCATCGTTGCTATGCAATTGCCTAGCAGATTAAAGTCATTCTAACTAAAGGCTACAATACTTTCTCATTAATAACGCGTCTGCTAGAAACAAGCCTTAAATCGAAGCCAATACACCGTAAACATCGCCTAGTTAATGCAAAGCACAAGATAGCGGATTGGTTGCGAGCAAAAATATGAAATGATCTAACTAAATCATCTGTTTTTTCGAAAAGGCTTTCTGAGCTCTTTGCACAAATACAATAAGCTTCTCAATTACGGCGATTTTGGCCCTTGCTATACCTAAAATAGGTTCTCCTCAGTGCGTAACTTGCTTGCAGTCGACCGAGAGCCATTTCACAAGACGAGGCCCTTATTATTATTATTATTGTTCTTATTATCAGGAGATCAAGGACCTATTCGTGCAAGGCGCCGCAGGCAAGCGTTACTCGCAAACAGAAGTTTAGTTGGTCGTCTTATGGCATCAGGCAGATTTGACCCATAGGCCGCTCTATTTTTAGAAGTTTTCTCAAAAACATTCACCTCGAGCGAGGTAGCATTGCCTCGTGCAGCCATTTGCAAGTACGTAGAGTTTTAGAGTATGAAAAGCTTTCACTGTAAAAACTGTGGGAAGATGAGTGCATTGTAGGAGTTACACATTTGTGGAGGGGCTGTAAAGGTCACTCATAAAAGGAAGAAGTTGACACTTGGCAGTCGTCTGTGGGTAACGAGTCAATGTGAGCGTCACCGTCGTTGTCACCGTTGACACCGATCGTTGTCCATCTGTACGAATCAGATAATAAATACTGTTACCGTCCGTAATCGTTGCGTTTCGTCTGCTAGCCTTTTAATTACTCGCGCCAAATCTCTAACGTTACCATGTTGTGGTCTTGCACGGTGGAAATGCTTCTTCGTATCTTACGGATAGTAAAGTGGATAAACATTCAGGTTTCTTATAATAATCATACGCCATTACCTTTCTCGTGTAATTCTTTTACTATACTTAATAAAAAGTTGACTGATTTAGCAATGTAAAACTTGTTCAATTACCTACAATAGTCTATTGCACTGTGCTCGTTTATTCTCAGTCCCGCGATCCTTCCTAACAGCTCGATTCTAGTACTTCAGCTCCACTTTTGACGATTGAGTTCAGGCGAAACAGATGAATCATCGTTAATCGGAGCTCCTAGGGACCAGTGTCCGCACCGGAACTAACCGACCGGGCCTGGCCTGACTCGAAAGGGCGACGCGTATCGTTAAATTAATTTCAACGCACAAAAACTGCCTAGGACCCTCGGTTTGCAAAGTGTATCACGTCGAGTCACCTCTGCCTGACAAGTGGAACATGAGCGCGTCTCATGTGGCCGACAAATGTATCAGGTAAACCATTTATACGATGACACGTATCTGTCTTGTCAACTACTCCTTCAGATGCGGAAATTTGAATTTGCATAGCATGTGGCAACTACTTGTTTGCCAGCTGTTGAAAATCAGAAGAACGGCCGTGTGTTTTGTTTTCCAAATTAAAATAAAGCACAAAATCAAGTGGAGAGTTCTTGTAACAGCGATTCCGGACATGTTAAAACTATTCTGCTAACATAGAACAGTAAGAGCACTCTTTTTTAAAGGTGTCCACTTTAGAGCCTACTAATCATTACGTTCCGAACGTGGTATGTTCGACTCAATGAAGCTGATCCAATTGCTAACACTGTAGAAGTTCCTCAATAAATTACCATATAAACTATATACTATATACGGATTCTCTTTTTTTCATAAGAACGTAAATCTTCAATGATGAGTACGTATTTAGTTGAATACTTAAAAATGTGTCCAACCAGATTTTCACTATTTCGGTAGCGTAAGTTCTCCAAACATGAGGAAGACGTTAACTTGTAGCGGCTTATTCGCTTTAGCAGTTCCAGATACCGCGTCTAAACGCGACACAGTTCGTAACGAAGCTTCGAGGCCATACGATCAGTGCGTTTCGGGGCTGTTGGGTAGAAAGATTGAAGTGTCGGCCCAGGCTGTACCACTTCAGTTTATCTCGTTTTGTGTCCGTTGGCACTGCCGAATTCATCAGAAAGAAAGAATACATTTTTCGATTGTGGCCGGATTTATCAAGTCCGTGACAAATAAACTTATTTATTATTAGGAAATTTCTAGGGAATTTGCAGAAAAACACTCGAACACTTGAACATCGATGCCCTCAATGCGGAAGACTCTGTGTTTGTGGGATGCAAATATGCCCAATGTACTAATCGTTTACTCAAGACTGAACGTGTCTGCGACACCTAGCTTCAACCAATTCAACGATACGCTCGGGCAGTGAATTATTCCCCTGAACATTCGATCTTGTTCGTCCTGTGTGAAGTCCAAAGTAAATTCCCTATGGGTCGTTTTGGAAAATTTAAGATTTAAATCTGGCTGAACAAACACCTAACGGCCCTTAGGATTGGTATCACTAAGTATTCGTTCAGACTTTTAACCTGTTGCTTACCGTTGTAATAAAAAATGACTAGCTGGAAGCTTGTTCTACCCATAGGCTCTTCGATTTGGTCTGCAGACGATCCGAAAAGATCTGAGTTATTTTTTTGTTGCTTTGTGTTGTTAGCCGCTCTATTTAGCCTGAGGTAACTAACGACTCATTTTTATTCATTTCTGTCTCACGAACATAAGAGCAAAATCTCACTGGTCTGTCCTTACCTGCTATATTTCTAGGAAAAGTATTTCAATATGTCCCCTTTCTAGTGAGGATTCAATTATTGCTAGGTATAATATGTAGAGATGATAAATTGAAGCCACGTTAAGTTAACCGTTTTAATTTGATGGTCGAGCGAAACCTTTGCTTTGGAGAAATTCAATTGTTTTGACCCCTTTTTTTTTTTTTCTAACTGTCGTTTGCATCCAAATTCACATACGCTTTTATTTTTCTTTAATGTGAGTCTATAGATGTCTGTTTATTCGGAAGCAACGCCATCTTTCTCTAGAGTCTTAAGCTAAGTCAGTTAGTTCGTTGCTGTCGAGAATACCAGCCACTAACTCTGTATCCAACAAAGGTCCTCGTACTACTCATTCTATGATCGTTGCGAATAGAAGCAGATACACTGAAATGTC